TGCGAGATGGTTTATCAGTTTAGTTTAGTCATTTTTCAGTCTTGTCTGAATCTTCATAACACCATTTGGGGTTTTCTTCGCAGATACTAGAGTGGTTTGCCATTGCATTCTCCAGCTTATATTACAGATGAGGAACTGAGGTAAACAGGATTAAGTGACTTGCTCAGGATCGCACATCTATTAATTGTCAGAGGCCAGATTTGAACTCAGGAAGATGGGTCTTCCTGAATCCAAGCCCAGTGCTTATCCACTGTGCCAGCTAGCTACCTGAGACGGTTTATAGAGCTAGATTTTTAAAAAAATTTATAAAATTCATTTGTGGAATCAAAAGATTTAGAACTAATAAAAAAGAGGTGGGAATGAAGGAAGACTGGAACTTCTATTCTAAAATATCAGTCATCAAAACCATTTGGAACTAGATAAAAGATAGAGAAGTAGACTAATGGAACAGACTAGACAATGGAGAATCAGAAACAATGGAACTTAGTAACCTAGTGTTATATAAATCCCAAAATAAATTGCTTAGAAAATAACTTCCTTTTTGATAAAAAAAAATATTGCTGGGAAAATGGGAAAGCATTCTGGAAGAAACTAGGACTTGACCCACATCTTACATCATGTTCTCCAATAAATTGAAAATGAACAAGTTACCTGAATATCAAAATGATACCATTAGAAGTGAGAAGAAAAATTGATCATATATCTTTCACTGTTGGGAGAGAAGGGCATGAATTCTGAACCAAACAAGAAATAGAAGCAAATTACACAGGGTAAAATAAACTATAAATAAAATTGACCACATTAATAATAAAAATAACAAATATCATGTGATTATGTCAAGAAATAAAGAAAACACTTTTTATAAGAAACAAAATTCACTTCTGTTAAAAACACTTGTTATATTAAAACATAGGAATAAAGGCAACTTTCTTTTAAAGTGATAAATAGTATCAATCTAAAACCAAGAACCAGCATGATCTGTAATGGGGATAAACTAAGGACTTTTTTAATAAGATAAGAGGTAAATCTTATTATCTATTATCATCATTACTATTCAATATTGCTACAAATGCCAATTATACCTATAAAATAAGAGAAATGTTGGAGGAATAAGTGTAGACAAAGAAGAAACAAAATTAATGTTTGTTGCAGATGATAGGATTGTTTACTTAGAGAACCCCAAAAAGTTAGCTAAAAACTGATTGAAACAATTAACAACTTCAGTAAACTCACAAGATATAAATTGAACTCACAGAAATCATCAGCATTTCTGGACATTATCAACAAAATCCAGTAAAAAGAGACAAATAGAAATTTCATTTAAAATAACTGCAGTTTAAAATACTTAGGAGTCTACCTGGTAAGAAACATGTAATCACTATATGATTACAATTACAAAATATTCTTTACACAAATAAAAGCAGACCTAAACAATTGGAGAAATATTCATTGTTCATGTGTGGACTGAATCAATAAAATAAAAATAACAATACTACTATTTATTCAGTGCCATACAATCAAACTGCCAAAGGATTGCTTTATTAAGATAGAAAAAATAATAATGAAATTCATTTAAAAAGTGGGAAGGAAGAGAGCTTAGTTATACCATACAAAGCAGTTTTTAAAAATTTCATAGGAAATGATAGAGTTTGTTCAGTTGAACAGATTAGATACACAACATACAGATGCAAATGAATCCAATTAACTAGTATTTGACAAACCCAAAGATCCCAGACATTTGGGCAAGAATTCACTATTTGAGAAAAACTGTTTGGAAAATTGAAAGCAATGTGGTAGAGACTGTGTATACACAAACATCTCATACCATATGCTAAGACTTTCTTTACTTTTCTTGTTTTACTTTTTTATCTGTTTTCTTTTGCAATGTGGCTAATATGGAAATATGTTTTGCATGACTTCACATGTATAATTGATATCAAATTGTTTGCCTTCTCAAGTTGGGGGAAGAGATAGGAGAGAAGGAGAGACTTAGAACTCACAATTTAAAAAAAAACTTAAAATTTTTAAAATGTAATTGTAATTTAAATGTAATATTTCATGAAATAAATTAAAATTAAAAATAATGAGTTCTATTTTTAATATGTTGTGTTTGAGATTACTAAGGAACAGTCAGTTGGAAATGCCAATGAGTAGAGGAGCTCAATATAGAGTGTGGATCTGTACATTTAGATTTGAGAATTACCTGCATAAAGATAAAAATAGGAACTGATGAGATTGCTAAGAGTGAAGATGTGGAAGAGAAGGCTGCAACACAGAACACTGGTGTATGCCCACATATGGGGGGCAAAAGATGGGTGGTGACAAATGAAAAGAGGCTAATAAGGAACAGTAAGACAAATTGCAAGAGCATGAAGAGAAAAGAATAGAGTCACCAAATGCTGAGAACAGAGAGTGTGTCATGTGTGTATATTTTTAAAATATCATTTTTGATTAGCATTGTCTACCTATAGAGTTAATATATAAACTTTTCTTCCTGTCAAGATGACTTTTTACCTGAAATAAATTTTCCCCCAAAAAAGAAATGGGATGGGAATACACATAAGAGACAGAGAATACATTTTAGCTTCTTTGAAAAGGGGTGGGCGGAATAACACAAGCAATGGAAAAAGATTGCAGAAATAATTCTCTCTTTTTTTTAACTTCTCAGGAATGTTCTTTTTTCATGAAAAGAGAATTCTACTCACATCCTCCTCAATTTTCCTTATACTATTCTTATTTGTAAGGAAACTACTTGATGACAAGGACTGTTACTTTTTGTTTTGGTCTTTGTACTTCTAGTACCTAGCACTGTGCCTTACATACAGTAGACACCTAATAAAAGTTTGTTGAATTGAATTGGATTAACTTTAAAGAGATATTTAGGATCATGGGATACTAAGGTTTGGAACTAGAAGGGACCTTAGAGATCTAGCCCATTTATTTTGCAGATGAGAAAACTCAGACTCCTGTACAATGGTACAAGATCTTGCTCAAGATCTTCCTCTTACAATGTACAACAGCATTCTTGCACAAGAGCACATAGGTAACAAGTGGCAGAACTGGGATTTCTTTCACTCTGATTCTAAACAAAATCTGCAAAGTGTCCTGGTGTATAGTGGGTACTTAATAAATGCTTATTTCCTTGTTTCTCCCTGTTTCTACTGCAAAATAAGACAAATCACTTTATAACCACTCCCTTAATCTATACCACATGATTATGTTTCTTGGGGCTTAGATTTAACTTTCAAGATATTTGGATCCATATGCTAGTGAAGCCAATGTATTTTGCTTATCAACATAGATGAATCAATCAACATACATTTATTAAGATAACCAATTTGTGATTTTCATGATCTTAAGTGCCACCCTTGAAGAGATAGAGAACATTATGAAATGCAAAATGGATAATTTTGATTACATTAAATTGAAAAGTATATGCACAAACAAAGCCAATGCAACCAAGATTAGAAGGGAAACAGAAAGCCAGGAAATAATTTTTACAACCAATGTCTCTGATAAAGGCCTCATTTCTAAAATATATAGAGAACTAATTAAAATTTATAAGAATACAAGTCATTCCCCAATTGATAAATGGTCAAAGGATATAAACAGGCAGTTTTCAGATGAAGAAATCAAAGCTACCTATAATCATATGAAAATATGTTCTAAGTCACTATTGATTAGAGAAATGCAAATTAAAACAGCTCTGAAGTACCACCTCACATCCATTATATCGGTTAATACGACAAAAAAGGAAAATGACAAATGTTGGAGGGGATGTGGGAAAACTGGGGCACTCATGCATGGTTAGTAGAGTTGTGAATTCATCCAAACATTCTGAAGAGCAGTTTCAAATTATGCCCAAAGGGCTATAAAACTCTGCATACCCTCTGATCCAACAATACCACTCCTAGGTTTGTATCACAAAGTGATCAAAAAAGGTGAAAAGAATCTATTTGCACAAAAATATTTATAACAACTATTTTGTGGTGGCTAAGAACTGGAAATTGAAGGGATATCCATCAGCTGGAAAATGGCTGAACAAGTTGTGGCATATGATTGTGACGGAATTGTGGTATGAAAACTGATGAGCAGGCTGATTTTAGAAAAAACCTGAAAAGATTTACATGAACTGATGCAGAGTGAAGTGAGGAGAACTAGGAGAACATTGCACACAGTAACAGTGATATTATACAATGATCAACTGTGAATGACTTAGCTATTCTCAGCAATACAATGATCTAAGACAGTTCCAAAGTACTCTTGATGAAAAATGATATGTACATCCAGAGAGAACTGATGAACTGAGTACAAATTGAAGTATAATTTTCTCACTTTATTTTTCTTGCCTTTTTGCAATAAAACTAATATGAAAATTAAAAAATGATATAATTTCCCTTTCCTAACATATTCAGGAAGTGTTTGCTGGATTATCCATTTCATATATTTAATACATAATGAGCATACTTTGATTACAAGTACCTTGCATTACATTTTGGAAGTGGAATTATCTATGTAGATGATAATGCATCTGTACTGGAAGTCTTGATCCTTGACTCCAATAACTTCTATTCATTTCACATACTTGAACTACATTTACATGTGTGTTTACATGCACTATTTAAAGTTATAATTACATAAAATAAGGTGATTGGTTCCAGTTCAATGGAAATGTGCCATGCAAATTTGTATAATGTGATCACTACACAGAATTCATTCAGGCACTAATACTGGAATTGGGCTGTACAAATTAGTTCTTTTTCCAGAAAAGGCAAAGGAAACATTTCAATAAAAACCTGCAGGAGAAATAATTTGATTTAGAAATAAGGTAGAACTTTTTGGCATTGAGTTCTATGATAGTGAAATGCATAAGCTGTTCCTTTTGGGCAAGTGTAACAGTGAAGGAAAAGTCATATTAAAATTTTTTTAAAAGAACATGAAGTAAGAAACATTTATACACTTTACTGAACTTTACCTGAAGCCATTTAATTTTCCTGTAGGTCATGATTTTTGTTCTGTGAGACATAACTGCATGGAAAATTCAGTCTGCCAGAATCTAAATGACAGGGCAGTATGTATTTGTCAAGATGGTTTTCGAGCCCTTCGAGAGGACAATGCCTACTGTGAAGGTAATACTTTTCACTTTCAAGTAATCGAAGGTGATTATTTTATCTTTTGTAATTGTCTCTATAATTGTTTTGTTAAATCTCTTTTGTTAAATGTGAGAATTATGTGATTTGTTTCTCTTATAATTTTTAAAAATAATATGATCTTTAATATTAAGGTCATGTATTTATTTACAATGTATTATGGAATATGTTGTAAGGTGTTAATCCTAATTTTGTGAGACTACTTTCAAGTTTTTCCAACAGTTTTTATCAAATAGGCAGTTTTTTCATAGGTAATTTTGTTTTCTACTTTATCAAACACTGAGCTATTGAGTTCTGTTGTTTCTAAATCTCACTTTTCTAGTTTATTCTATTGATCTGTCTCTCTACTCTTTAACCATTATCAGGTGGTTTTGATAATTGCTGCTCTGCAGTAGAGTTTGATATATGGAATTGATATTCCTTCTTCATGACTACTTTTCATCATTACCTTCGTATTCCAGATCTTTTGTTTATCCAAATGAATTTTGTTATTATTTTATCAAATTCTGTAAAGTATACCTTTGTTAATTTGGTTAGTATGAAATTTTAAAAGTGTAAATTAATTTTGGTAGTTTTGTCATTTTTATGACGTTGGCACAGTCAATAGGAGGAAAACCTATCCTTAAGCTGTTCTTTATTTCTTTAAGGAACACTTTTTAATTGAGTCTATAAAGGTCCTTTGTGTACTTTGGGAAGTTGATCCCCAAATATTTTATTCATTTTGTAGCTATTTGGAATGGAGTTTCCTGGTCGTTTATTGTTGTTTGTATTTTCTAACTATTATATAGAAATGTTGTTGGTTTTAAGACCTTTCTGTATATGTTAAAGCTTTCCTGAAACTATTGTCTCAATATTTTTGCTGATTCCCTATGATTTTCCAAGCAATCCATATCATCAGTAAGTAGGGATAGTTTTATCTCTTCTTTATATATCTTTATTTCTGTAATTCCTTTCTTTTGTATTATTGCTGTTGCAAACATTTGCAGAACTATATTAAATAATAGGGGGGAGAATGAGAATCCTTGTTTCACTTCTGCATTTATTGGAAACAGTTATAAACTTTCTCCATCACATGTAATGCTTGCTTTCAGTTTTGGGTAGATTTTTAATACTAAAAAAGATCACCCCATGCCTATACTTGTAGGGCTTTTAGCATAAATGAGTGCTGTACTTTGTCAAAGGCTTTTTCTAAATATGTTGAGATGATCATGTGTTTTTGGATGTTTTGATTTTAATATGATTAATTATGTTATTTTCCTAATGTTGAATTAGCCTTGCATCTCTGATATAAATTAACCTGATCCTAATGAATTACTTCTCAGATAAAGTTCTATAGTGTGTTTGATAGCATTTTATTTAAAATTTTTGAGTCAGTGTTCAGATAGTGGTATACAGTTTCATTTCTGTGTTTTATCTTTGCCTGTTTAGATATTAGGACTATATTTGTCTTCTAAAAAAGATTCTGGTAAGGTGCTTTCTTTCTCAATTTTTGAGACTAATGTGATATATAAATATGAACTGTTCTTTAAAGTTTGGATTCTCTTGTGAATCAATCCATCAGGACCAGGAATTTTTTGTTATGTCTTTTGCATCTAGATCAATTTCATTTTCTGATATTGCTATTCTGATATATTTAAGATCTCTGTCTGATCTTCTGATAGTTTGAATATTTTATATTTTTCCTTGGGGTCACATGGCATAAGAAGAAGAGAAAATAGACCTTTCTCCCACAAGCTTAGTGCAAGGTGCCCATGAATAGGTAAACAACACCTCTACCCTTAGACATCACTGGAAAGAGAGAGAGTAATTATATCTCCACCAGGTAGAATTAAAAACAAAATCACTTCCAGCTACACAGCTAATGGAAAATATGGTAAGGGAATGCAAAAGATCTTCTCCCAGAAGCAGATACCTGGCATCTCCCACATTGATGTGTTTATCCTAGATGATCTAGGCATGTCTATACAACTTAAGTTTTTTTTCTTTTCTTCCACAAATAAAACCAGTAAAGCTTAATTTAAAAGAAAAGCAAATAACCAACAAAAAATTTTCACAGAAAATTTCTCTGATAAATGTCTTATTTCCAAGATATATAAGAAATTTATTCAAAATTGTTGGAATAGTAGCTACTCCCAGTTGATAAAAGTCAAAATATGTGAAAAGGCAACTTTCAGAGGAATAAATCCAAGCAATCAATAGCCATATAGAAAAAGAAATGTTTCAAATAACTGATAGCAAAATACAAATTAAAGCATCTCTAATGCCATCATAAACTCTTCATTCTCGTCCTCATATCTAATCTTTTGCTACATCTGTTGATTCTACCTTTGCAAGATCTTTCATCTAATGTTCCCTTCTCAACCCTCTTATAGGCCCTCCTCATCTCACACCTAGAATATTGAAATACCCTTCTGTTTGGTCTCCCTTCCTTAAGTTTCTCTCCACTTCAATCCATCTTCCTTTTAAGTTTCAAAGTGATACAGATCCAAAATTATATTCTATAGATATATGTTTGACTATGTCAGCCTTCTAATCAATAGACTCTTGTGATTCCTTCTTTATAGGATCAAATATGAAATTCTTTCTTTGATTTTTAAAACACTTCACAACCTGTCCTCTACCTACCTTTCCAGTCTTCTACTTTATTCCCCTACACATGCAATGTGATCCAATTATACTGGCCTTCTTGCCAGTATAATTGAACTTGAACATGAAACTGCATCTTCCAACTCTGTGGCTGTTCTCTATTCCTGAAGCTTTCTCCCTCCTCACTACTACCTCCTAGATTCCCTGACTTTCTTCCACACTCAGTTCAGATTTAGCCTTCTGCAAGGGGCCTTTTCAAGTCTCTCCCAACTATTCATGTTTTTTCTGTGTGATTATTTCCATATCATTCTGTATATATCTTTTTATATATAATTGTTTTCATGTTGTCATGCCTCCTCTCCCCCTCCTCCCGACCCATGCCATTAGAATGTGAGCTCCTTGAGAGTAAGGACTTTTTTTTTAACCTCCTTTGTATCCCTAAAGTCTTGCACAGTGCCTGGCACATAGTGCTTTATAACTGCTTGCTGACTGACTCGAAACTGATTGGTTGGATACATTAGTTCTCCACCTCTTGCTAATTATCATCTTATGTATTTAACTGTATATGCTCTGTTAAAAAAGAGTTAAATGAGATTTGGTAAATAGTACAGCAGACACTAGAAACCTAAAACTATTTGAGAACACAGTTTGAAAAAAGTAAATTTCAAAAGGCTAGTAATATTCGGAATGTAATCAAAATGTGAAAAGATTGTCAATACTGTATTTAAGTGACAAATAATCTGAACCATACTTCTGTAACCTATTCAAATGACTTCATCCTATCATGCCTAGTTTAACCCCTGTCCAATGCTTGCTGATCCTTTCTCACTAATGAAAATGTATGTGAAGTACTGAGAAAGCCCCTCCCTTTTTGCAGGTGCTTCTTTGGAGTTTGAGACAAAAGGACAAAGTGACTGTGCTCCCTCCAAACAAGAGGCTTTTACATTCCAGAGCAAAAAAAAGACAGTTCTTTGTGGTAGTATGTCTACCATCTCCAGGTCAAAAGACTGTACATTAATTCCTAAAAAATTCCTTTTTGGAAGGAACTATGAAAGGTTTAACTGGAAACATGACATGTAAATTCCAACATATGTTAGAAAAGCTAGCTGCACTTACTGTTGTGTACCTTTACTTGTTACTTCCTGTCTCACTGGCCATATATATTCATTTGAGTTTTTTTTAATATGGTCAAATTTTTTTTTTGTTTTTCATTTTTTAAAAATATTTTTAAAAATAAACTTTTACTGATATCTTTTGTTTTTACATGAACTAAATTTGTCCTTATATTCTCCCTTTTACCCTCTCTGCAGTGAGGGGGAGGAGAGTAAATGAGGAAGAAGAGAAAAAAATTAGTCAAAGCTATCAATACTGTAAAAAAGGAGAAAATACATGCAATGTTTTATCTGTGGATTTCCCATTTCTTCAGAAAAAATGAGGGAAGGTGTGTTCTGATATCTCTTCTTTGGGGTCATGTTCTTTCATCATATTCACAGCTTCTTATAGCACAATATTATTCTATTACATTTATGTTCCTCAATTTGTTTAGGTGTTCCTCAATTGATAGGCATTGATTTTGTCTCTAGCTCTTTTACAGCACCAAAAAATGCGGTTATAAATCTTAGTGTATACAGAGACTTGTTTTTATCAATGACTTCCTTGAGATAGATGCCTGGTAGTGGAATCTTAATGAGGGTCCAGTCCTGGGACTGGAACCCTAGTGAATGTTTGATCAACCTTCCTCTTCAAGTTTGTGATGACTTGGAATGGAAGGACCTAAGTTCAGACCTGACCTCAGACACTTATTACCTGTGTGACCCTGGACAAATCACTTAACTTCTGTTTGCCTCAGTTTTATCATTGGTGCCTACCTCTCAAAGTTTTTCTACCAAATAAGATAATATTTGTAAAGTGCTTAGCACATTGCCTTGCACATAGTAAGCACTTTATAAATTCAAATTCTTTTCCTTTCCTATTTCCTCTCTGTATACTGCTTGGTGAAGAAAAGGTCTTTTGGATGGTTTTTGTCATTGTCTCTTTCTCTATCTCTCTGTCACTCTCTGTGTCTCTCTCTTTTTTAATTTTTATTTATTTTATGGAATAAAACAATTATTTTCATAGTGTATATATTAAAAAAAGATTGTGCTTGAAATTGAAAATATATTATTTACAACTTGATATTACTTTAAATATATAATAAAGTTACTATGTAAATTTATTTTTTTCCTTCAGTTTTGAAAAGTGATTTCACTTTTAAAAGACACATTAAGGATAACTTAAAAATAAAGAATGTAATACATTTACCTACCTAGTCTAAAACATTAACATATTATATTTGTAAGGTATATAGTTTACAACAAACAGTTCTATCTCATCTCTTCATAAATGTCCAGAAAAAATAAACAGTATTTCCCAATCATATGTGAAAAACTTTTGATCCACAGTCTCTAAGTTTTATTTAAGAATAAAAAATTATGTCTCCCCTGAGGGATTGTAAGCACCACAAGAGAAATGACTATTTCTCCACCCTAGAGATGGCTACAATTAGACACAAAGATGTATATGTGTGTGTTTATCAGTTCTTTTTCCGGATGAGAATAGTGTCTTCCTTCATATGACCTTTGTAATTAATTTGGGTATCTATAATAGTCAAAATTATGTATTTGTTCAAAGTTGTTCTTAAAACAATATTGTTCTTACTATATACAATGTTCCCTTGGTTCTGCTCTTGCTTTTCATTATTTCATGTAAGTCTATCCATGTTTTTCTAAGATCATTGAACACAGTAGTATTCCATCACAGTCATATACCACAACTTGTTTAGTCATTCCTCAATTGATGAACAAGATGTAAGGACAACTCTCTTAGCTACAGAGGGTGGAGGGGTTGCCTTCTTCACCTGATCTGAGGTGGACATATGGCCTCCTTGACAAAATTGTCTTCTTTTCTTTAGTACTGAGAGACTCATGATATCTCCAAAGATCCTTACCGAGGTTTGATTGGCAGCTGAGTCCAAAATGAAACTAGTCCCAGACATAGGCTTGCCGAGTTGTCTATATAATTACTGGCCATCCATAAGAGAGAAGGATACTCTTCCCTACCATCCACATATGCCTCCAGAACTTAGATTCATTTTTATATCTCATGTCCAGGAGGAAGGAAAAGATAATTTCTGTTTGAACCTTTTGTATTCACTCTCATTTCTAGCTTTGGAGTCTTTTATTTACCACACACTAAACGGACAAGAAACACAGAATACATGAACGTGCTCTGAAATAGAAAGTGAGGCCCCTCTATTCCATACCATCACAAGCTCACCAAACAGGCACATAAGTTCCCTGTTCGTGCTCCCCAGACTCAACCCTCCTTGGCCAAACAGCTCTCACCCTTCAGCCCTGTTACATTTGTAATAAGAGTTGATCCTCTAGGAATGGGATAAAGGAGGAATACATTGAAAATTTAGGTGATATAAAAACAAAAAAAAGTATAAAAATGAATTTTAAAGAGTATTCTCTCTTTTCACAGTTTTTCTTAGGGACTTGAAAATAGAGGTGAGTCCCTATATGTTCAATTTAGTAGAATGCCATGCAACTTGAAAGGCTCAGTAAAAGTCTTATTTCTGTACATAATCTTCACTTAGAGTTCTATTGCTACCCCTATTTTGAAAAAAAAGTTATTAACAAACTTTTAAAGACAATTGCTCCAATTTGTAGAGTACATCAAATGCTTATTCTCCCCTCATTGTACCTCTTCATATAAAATAAAATGTATCCATTGTATCAAAAATAGCATCTTAGTGCTGACAACGCTGCAATAGCCTCTTTCATCAAAATATAGGTAAATGAAATCACTTTTCAAAAGTTAGTAAGGATTAATGTTAATGTAGTCCTCTTTGTAACTCTATAAAGAGCTGTTTGGAGAAATCAAATTCTGCTTCTGTAGCTTGAACCTCACTCATTTTAAAAATAGAAATACAAAAATACTTTAAAATTTTATGCTATTCAAGTAACATTTCCCTTCAAAATATTAGAAAAGCTTTAATATAGAGTTCTTGGTCACTTGACACCCCTCCTCTTTTCACAGACATTGATGAATGTGCTGAAGGACACCACTATTGCCGGGAGAACACCATGTGTGTCAACATACCTGGTTCTTTCATGTGCATCTGCAAAGCAGGATACCTAAGAATTGATGATTATTCCTGTACAGGTAAGTGATTGTTATTTACAGAACAAAAATAACCATGATACATTTCATATACTTTCAAAAAAAATGCCCGTTTCAATCAACCAGTAAACATTTTTTAAGTACCTACTTAAGTGATACCTCTAGTGTCAGATACTATGGAATACAAAGACAAAAATGAAATAGTCATTTCTCTTAAGGTGCTTACAATCCCTCAGGGGAGACATAATTTTTTATTCTTAAATAAAACCTAGAGACTGTGGATCAAAAATTTTTCATATCTGATTGGGAAGTACTGTTTATTTTTTATGGACATTCATGAAGAGATGAGATGAAACTATTTGTTGTAAACTATATACTTTAAAAATACAACATGCTAACAGTTTAGATTAGATAGGTAAATGTATTATATTCCCTATTTTTAAGTTATCCTTGATATGTCTTTTAATATTTTTCACACATATTTTTTCACACAATATTTTTCATACATATCATATTGAATATCTTGTGATTTTGCTTTAAGAGAAGGAATAGCAAATTTTATATGAGTTTGGTTGCTGATTCATGTTTTCAGTCAAATTGCAAAACTTGAAAGATGAATAGAAGAAAGTAAAGGCAAAATTTTTAAAAAGTAACCTGTGGGGTAAGGCTTAAACTTAAAGTTTAAGAAAGGGCTTATGCAGAATGCAAAGTTTGAGTCGAACTTTGAAAGAAACAAGGGATGCAAAAATGCAAAGGTGGACTTTCTAAGAATAGAAGACAGCCAATGAAAAGAGGATGTCATGGAGGTATAATTGACAAGATTTGGTTACTGATTGGATATGTGAAGCGAATGAGAATGAGGAATTTAATGACTCCCAGCTTGTGAAATTAAGTGACTGGAAGGATGGTGGTGCCATGGACAGAAGAGGGAAGTTCACATTTTGTGGGGAATATAATGAGTACTACTTTGGATGGCTTTCATGCTTCTTATTTAGGAAAAGTAAGAAAAGTTAAAGAAACAAAACAGCATGGTATAAAATATGATTTGTCATGAAGCTCAAGACAACAAAAACAAAGAAGTTAGAGGTGCATTTTAGTGATAGAATGATAGTTTTTTCAAGAACTCATGACCTAATAAAATAAAAAAATTGTGTTCCCAAAAATTCAAAACAAGACAATAGAAACTTGGCCTGGAGATGGAGATAAGAAAAAAAAGTCTTAGCACTTCTGTAAACAAGAATTTGGCTCTTACATAAAAAATCAAGTCTTTTCCAAATTTGTTGTCTTATTCTTGTTGAACAAGAAACTTGTTCTTGTTTCTAAGTCACAAGGTTTATTGCTAAAGTCCAGAACTAGTATGTGCTGGTGAATGTTTAAGAACAGAGTTTCTGGGGAAAAGTATGCATATGTACATACATAAGTTTATTATAAATACTACTCACCTAAAAGATGCATAGCACATAATTTACAAATAATAAAGTATACAATACTCTTTATTTCATGTAGCCAATTGAATTTCAAAGAATGTTTTCATTGATTTTTGCCAAAAAAGATATCTGTAGTCAGCCTACAATTCAGCCTTCAATTCAAAACTAATTTGATGTACAGAGTTGCATCCCAGTCTGACAACTCTTTTCCCAATAAATTTGTCATTAAACCTGATATGTGATCTATTTTATGTGTTCTATTTCTCATCCTCATACAAATTATATTCATAAAAGCCTCTTTTAGCTCCAGCACTACTGATATCACTAGTAATATCTTTTTAGCTTTTTGCAGAGTTACAGAGATTAGAACATTGTTTGATTCTACATTATTTTCTACAAAATCCTGAAAATCATTCAAATCAATTTCATGTTTTAAAATTTCATTTAAATGATACATTTTTCTTCAGTTATCCATGGTAAAGTTAGCTCTTCATAAGGCCAAATAGATCATTGTAATAAATCAAAATAATTTAAACTGATTTCATTCTTGTTTCTGTCTGATGAAAGGTGTAAGTTCATGTGTTGAATCATGTTTTCTAGTAAAATATTCCTAGGAAAAACATTAAATGTGTCATTTTATTAAGTAGAAAATTTTTTAATTTATGTGATAATCAAATATTCAACCTGAGCTTCATGCTTTCTAGTCCCAATTTTTAAATTTACCAAATCTCTGGTGATGTGTTTGCATAATTATTTTGTTTCTGAATATTAGTTAATCTCGAGAGCAATGAAGATGAAATTAAAGAAAAATTGTCAGGAATGCTAACCATTGAAGCAAAGTCTTGCTAGAAATAAATGTTAGCTAATTTCTTTGGCAAACCTGAATATGACAAAGAATGAGAAAAATGCAGGATACACATGCCATACATACAACAGTAGTAACTCAAACTACATGCCATGCATATGGATCCCAAGATTCAACCAATATTTAATCATTTCCATTTTTATTTCTTTTGCTACAGTTTCTAGCTTGGTTTGATTTGTGGTGAGATTGGATTTTTAAATATTTCTAACAACCTAGCTATTCCAGATTTTCTTCCCAGCATTGTATTAGCACCCTCAGAAAAATATGCAATTAAGTCTGTTTTCAAAACTTATTATTAAAACCACAATCATTTAAAGTTGACAATAATGTATTGAAAATGTATTCGGCTATGGAAGGCATCATTTTTTTTTTTTTGCTTTTTTTTTTTACCTCAAGCTTAACATAATTAACATAATTAAAACTCTGTAAAATAAAAGTTCTTTACAGAATCCATAACTAGCCTGACTTTCCACTTTGGCTGCAATCTTGGGGATTTTTCAAAAATACTCCCTATTTAGAGAATTACAACATTGGAGAGAGTGCTAAAATTTGATAGTATACAAACAGTAATTCTTTGATTTCATAATAATACTGACAGATTAGAGCCTGATTAGCTCTTCTACCCAAACCATATATTTCTCTTTCAGAAATAGCATCATTAGGCAGGACAGTGGTTTTTTTTTTATCGTGTCTTGATATTTTAATAGTATTTTTTCCAATTATATGCAAAGACAGTTTTTAGCATTTTTACAAAACTTTGAGTTTCATATTTTTCTCTCTCCTTTCCCTCCCTTCTTCCTACAATGGTAAGCAATTTGATGTAGGTTATATCTGTGCAATCATGTAAAACATATTTCCTTATTAGCCACAGTTGTGAAAGAAGAAACAGATGACAAGGAAAAAAACCCATGAAAAATATAAAGAAAATAAAAATAATATGCTTTGACCTGCATTCATAGTACACTAATTCTTTCTCTGGAAGTGCATAGCATTTTCCATCATGAGTCCTTTGTAACTCTCTTGCATCATTGTATTGCTGAGAAGAACTCAATCATTCATAGTTGATCATCACACAATGTTGCTATTACAGTGTACAATGTTTCCTGGTTCTGCTCATTTCATTTACATCAGTTCATACAAGTCTTTCCAGGTTTTTCCGAAGTCTGGATGACATCAATTCTTTCTGGTAGAGTTGATTGAACTACTCAATCTATATAAATCATTAGGGTGTTTTCATGGAAATTGTAGATGCCTCATCAATTATGATAAAGATTTTTGTATTCTCTTCTATGATATTCTTAAATCTCTTTATCTCAATTTATTGTGTGATTTGCTCTGCTATTCTTGTTTCACTATATTGTCTATGTGAAGAATTGCCTACATCTGTTGCATTTTTCTCTTGTAATTCTATTGTCCCCTCAGTGTCAGTAAAAGGACTATTTTGTTTTACTAAACTGCAAGTAGCATTGAAAATTTTAGGACAGCATCAACATTTTTATTATTTAGTTAATGCACTAAATTGGAAATTGATCCATTAGCCAATTCTCTTAAGAAATCTTGAATTTAGTATAGGCTGTAGAATCCCTATATGTTCCCTATTTTTTAAAAAGAGGCATACCTATACTGTCATTTAAGGTTGCTAAATACATGCTACATTCCTTGGACACGTGGACATGGTTTTGTGCTTTCACTCCTTAATGCTGAATTGTTAGACAATTTTTACATCTCAATTAGCTTTCTTTTATTTCAAGTCCATTGTACTATTCTATAAATATAAATGCTTGTTTTTCATTCCAACAATTCAGAAGTATAAGATTAGCTATATCTTCCTTTGAGAAACATGATATCTTTTGTTTAATGATTAGTTATTCAACAGATTCCAAGTTTGGTTATGTTGGCTTTGACACTCCGCAATTATTTTTGTTCCTATCACTATTTTCTGTGTTTGTTTTCACCTTCTTTACACTTAAAAAAAAACCTTAATAGATCACTACTGTGTTGGTATTTTCAGGACCAGAATCAGAAAAATAATTTTACTTTTTGCTGCTAAAATTCACACTACCACTTGAGGATATTAAAATAATGTGAATATTTTCACAACTTTTGGCTACTCATGATATAACAGTTACAAACATGACAAATATTTAAGTTTAATCTGCATTATTAATATATTCACCTCACATTATTAACATATTATTATTATATATTATTAACATATTCACCCACAAATAAACAAAACAATAAATTAAACCCTGACTTCTAACACTTGCTAATTCCCATGGTGTAAATACTCCCACCATAGCAGATTTCAAGCTGCTAGTGTGACATCATTGACCACTGAAGGATGTGCAGTAGCACAGCATTATATAGTATTTCCACTAAATAGATACAATGGATGTGAATAACCTTGAGAACATAGGTAATAGGAAAATATAGTAAAATAATTAGAAAATGATGAGTTTTGAGTATTTATTACCATTGTTTTTAATATAATTTAAATCCAAGTTTACATAATTCAATTTTAATAATGGATGTGTTTAACAATTGGCTTGCAAAATTCCTTAAAATTTAACTATTGGCTCTCATGAGCCAGTATGAACCATCTCCAGTACACTATGATTAGTACAAGAGCTTTGGTATAAAACTGGTGTCTGAAGCATTTATGAAATAGAGTCAGGCACGGTATATTCCTGAATATATTTAGCAGGAGAGTGAGAGGCTAAGTCACTAGAATGATAAAGAAAAAAAAT